GAAAATAGCTCAAAGGTAGTAAGTGCCAACAATAGCTTCCTACTTGTAAGACTGTTAACGGGTGCCTCGACTAGGCGGTGCTCAGAAGCAAGCTAATAGCAAGCCAGACTTCCTGGCGCACGTCAGTGCCAATTTTCCATCAAAATGAATGTATAAGTCGCCGCAGAGGGATTGGTTATCCTAGCTACAGTATCGAACCATGAAACAGTGTTACTTTCAGTCGCGTTATGCTAGTGCATAGGCCGATCCAGGATGGCCTGCGCGGGCGGATGGCTAGTAGGGCTTCTACCGGCGACAGGGGTGCGGAAGAGAGTTTTATTCAGTTTTACCTTTAAACCCGGACTTTTGTAACGCTGGCATCTATGCCGCTGGGAAGGGGAGGAGAGGGAAGGGGGCGAAAGAACCATCGCCTTTTCTCGTTACTTTCTGCAGCTACTGATATCTCGTTACTTTCTGCAGCTATTTTTTCCTTTTCAAGTTGACAGCGGCACACGCACAACTGTTAAATATGTTGATAAGTCAAAATTGGTCCGGCAAGCGGAGATTCAGCTGAATACCATATCATCGAACTCTACGCATCCAGTGTCTTGAGCGGCCAAGCAACTGGGCGCAAGGAAATATTTTCTTAGAATATTACAATAAAAAACACTTCGGAGTCCAAAAAAAAATCATATAAAAAAAATATTTCGACTAACATTAACGGCTGTTTCATTGTCTTCATCGTTGTTTCCATCCTTTAAACCATGAGAACTAATTGGCGAGTTCAAACGAGCATGCGAAATGTCTGTATTTTCTTGTGCCACCACAGACAATTCCCTAAAAACTGAATTTAGCTTTTGCAGTCAAGCGTATGGACGAAAATTCACACGTATGCTCCAAATCAACAGCCTCACCAAGACGCATAAAGAAGACGGGTTCGGATAATGGGTAGCTTCCCCGCAGCAACGGTGTCTTATACCTCAAGTTTCAGAAATTCGCAAAATTCTAAAACTTTCGGTTTCGCAAACAATTAAAACCAAAATTTTGATTCAATTTATGCAACATTTCATCCCTGGCTATTAGCTTACTGGCAATATTAACGCATATTGCAACGAACCTGTCAGTGTGTGTGTTTGTGTGTGTGTGTGTGTGTATGTTTGTATGTGTGTGTGTTCGTCTGTCCGGGTATTCCAACTCGCTAACCATGCAAGTTTTGAAGCTGAAATTTTGCCACTGTGTTCCCCAGCCAGGTTCCACCCCAGGACCGCGGTTTCAACCTTCACGCACGTCTGGGAGTCGCGTACGAGCACGTGAAAGTTTTGGCGCGAAAATCGCTAACTCGGGAACGAG